GCCCAGGTCGATGCACCCCTGGTTCTGCGGGGTCCTTCGAGATGCGGCGGCGCTCTGGCGGACCCCCGTTCCTGGGGGAACCACAGGGTGCCCATACCGCTGCTCCCCCCCACCTCTCCCAGGGCGCGTGCTGACCAGAACTCCGAGGCGAGCCCGGCGGTGGCGACGAAGGCCTCCCAGGAGGCCCCCCCAAAAGGGAGCACCTGGCGAGGGGTGGCGCTACGGGCACCGTTTTCCTGGCCGGCCCCCTGCTTGCACGCACCCCCGTCTCTTTGGACGCCCGAAATGGGTACGGAAATAATGGGTACAATGCCTAACAACAGGTGATGTCTCAAACCAACAGCGGCCCCTGTTGGGCAGGCGGCCTTCTGTCTCGAATGGGCACAGGCCGCGGCGGCGTGGACAGCGAGTCCTGTTCAAAACAAGCAAGATCCGCTGTTGGGCATTGCACCCCATCCTTTCCGTGCCCATTTCGTTCGTGCAGAGTCTCAAGGCTCCCGAGCGGTGCGCCGCCGCCGCCGCCCGGCCAAAATCCCCTCAGAGGCGCCTCCCCCCGGGTGTCCATCCTGGCCAGCGCTCCGAGCTGCGCCCGTGCGCGGCGTGCTGGGGGCATTCACCGAAGGAGGCGCCCCGGAGCCCTGCCAGAGGCAGGCGCCGCCGCAGCCGATGCCGCCGCTGAGCTGCGGGCGGCCGCGGGGTCCGAGGGGCAGCGGTACGGTAGGGGCTCGACCACAAGAAGCCTTCCACGAGAAACCCAGCCATGAGACCCCAGGACGTGCATTGAGTTTTGGTGTGGGAGCGTCACGCTTCCCATAGCAGAGCCATCGAAACAACACAAAATTACAGGGCACCCTGAAGGCAAGCAGGGTGTTTGTTGGCATGGTTTTCCACTGCAGGGAGGGGCTGGCAGAGGGGAGGAAACATCGACTTGGAATCGCCGATACATTGCCGATAGATCGGCGACAGGACCCAGATGATGAATCCGCAGGATCTTGGCCAGGTTGGAGCTATCGGGCACCTATCGGCGATCAATGGGCGATTGGGGGTCGATGCGCCCCCCCCTGCGCCTATCCTCCCCGACATTTGGCCCTGAGGGTGGGCGCGGCTCGGTCGGCTGGGCGGCGGGGGGCCCCCGACACGGCCCCAGAGGCTTCTGGAAGGCAGCCAACAGCCAGCAGACAAGAAACACGACGTCGACAAAAACTCCATCTCCTCGATCCTCGATCCTCCATCGATCGACCAACGACGGCATCGGCCAGCGGGTGCGGAGGCCCTCCGAGCCTTCTGAAGAGGCCCGCCCCCTCTGTCCTCCCCCGCTTGGGCGTGCCGCCGAAGGCGGAACATCCGAAAAAATGGGAACCTTGGAAGACACATCCTCAGACATGCGATGTCCCGACATCTTCCGGACTGGGTCCCCGGAACTCCGGGCCCAAGGGCCGGTTTTCCATCGCGAGTCGTTTCCTCCGAGCTAGCCTGCTTGCGGCAGTCCTAGTTCGACGCGTAAGGCACTGGCTTGCTGCTATCCCCCCACCCCCGATTTTGCTCCGCAGGGTTGCAATGGCTTCTTCTCCGATTGCAACTACTTCCTCTGCTTTGCATTGGCTTCCCGTGGCTATTCTCAGAAGTATGACAAAATAAAGCAAGGTGAGAATAGAGTGGAATAAAGTGAGAGTCGAGTGTAATAGGATTGAACAGTGCAGAGCACAAGTAGGGTAGATGATAAGAGTAAGAGTCTGGAAAAAAAAAGTGGCACCGAATGCACGTCGCAAACAGAATCGGGAAGGCGGCGCAGCAGAGGGGTCGAGAGCAGCAGGGGGAAGTGGTTCGATAACAAGGACATGCCAGAAGACCAACGAAGTTCCGTCGGCCACCCCACCCCCCGGAAGGGGGGGGGAGGGGGCGACCCGCGCCCGTATAGCCAACTCCGCCGTCGGCCAGATGCCTATAAGGCGAGGCGCGTGCGCAAGGGGCCCACCCGGGAGACGGCCATCACGAGCACGGCCGGCAGCCGCGGAGCGGCGCGGCGGCAAAACAGCAGCGGAGCGGCGCGGCCGCCGGGGAGGGCAGAGGCCCACCTCGGAGCCCTGGGCCTCGAAGGCCGCGGACTCTGGCAAACGCGCTATACCGACCCGACATATCCGCCTCGGCGCCCCTGGGGGGCCCCCCCCGCCACGGCGGCCTCGACGGCGGGCCGCTCTAGGCAGCAGGGCAGCACCCGTCAAGGCTCGACATCACTAGCCTTGGGCGGCTCGGCTAGAGCAGAATACGACAAAACAAGGCAGGGCGCAGTTTTAAGCAGAGCAGCTCGGGGCACACACGGATTGCTAGCAGGTCCCCCCTCGAGGAGGGCAGCTCCGCGCCCGCGGCCAACTCCGCCAGCAGGCCTTCCACGCCCAAGCCCCCGGCCCGGCGCCGCGGGCGAGGCGGGCGCGCGCGAGCCCTGCAGGGAGGCAGCCTGCACGGGCACCGTCGAGCTGACCTCGGCGCCGACAGGCTCGCCCCACCCACGGCCACCCTCCGCAATCGCACGGCAGAGCGAGTTGCAGCACCCTGGCGCCGCCGAGGCCGCGCAGGCAGGGCAGGCGACTGGCCGCGCGCCACGGCGGCGGCGGCCTCCAGCTCGGCGCACGCCTCACTCCGCCGAGGGAAGCGCTGGCCGCCTCGGCCGAGAGCATGTCTGCCAAGCCTGCACGCAACGCGGCCTCCTCCTCGTTGAGCCGCCGCTGCCACGCCGCCGCCTCCGGAGCCTCGGCGGCCAGCGAATCGCCCAACTCCGCGTCCTTCTGGGCCATCTCCTCCTGGGGGGTGCCCTGGCGCGATTCTTGTGGCGGGGCTGTTTCCCGAGGTCCACGACCCCGGCCTCCTCCTGGCACAGCGCCCGCGGGACCACCTGCCCGAGCCCCTCGACGACCCCCACGGTCTGCGCCTCCTGTTAGACATGTTTCCGCGCGAGGTCCGCCAGCTCGTTCTCCTTCAGCTTGAGCCGCTCCTTGGAACTCCCCCTTGGCGCCCAGCATGGACTTCGTTTTGTCCACGCACATACACACTCCTCTGGTTTGATAGCAACCAGGGTTATGTTTCTATCGCAGGCTGCTCTGCGATGGATGCAGGCCGCGCCATTTGCTGGCAGATGCGGGCAGTCCGAAATGGTGCGTTTAGTATCTCCAGGTTACATTGGCACTCCTACGGTAACCCGAGTTGCTGCGCTTCCTGGTCTCTAGTTCGCCTCTTGCTGTTGTCTATTCCTTCATCATCCTCCGTTCTCTCTTTTCCCGAGTCTAGGGCTATTGCAAGTCGTTGGTCTCTTCGCCCCGCGGACGACTTCGATCGGCGGCGTTTCGTCCACGCTCGCAGGACAGCCTGCTGAGCAGGGCTGCTGCGCGGTCTCGGCGAAATGTTTGCATTAGCCTGGTGCGTCGTCTGCCTTGTCCGCGGCGCGGGATAGCCCCCTCGAGCGGACTCTCCCTCCTGCTTTGCTTAAATGGCGTCCAGCATGGACTGTTCCTTCTCCTCCTGGGCTGCTTCCATCTCCAGGATCGTCTCGCCCAGCGATCCCTGTCGAGAGGACTTTGCTCGAGCTCGCCCCCGGGCACCGTCGACGGAGCCCCGCAGGGCAGGGAAGGGCTGGACGAGGGCGAGCGACGTCTCCCCAAAGCCCTCCTCCTCGGACACTGCCACGCGGCGCCGCGGGCCGCGGCCGCGCCGCCCCAACGCCGAAGAGCACTTCCGCTCCCGTTCGGATGGCATCCGCAACGGCGGCGGCGCGGCGCCGGCGCCCTCCGCAGCCCTCAGCAGGCTCCGCCGTGCCCCCGCCACAAGTGGGGTTGGCGCCGCCAACGCCCGGCTGCGCTTTCCCGTCGCGTGCCGCGCAGAAGGGGAAGAGACAGAGCCGCCCTCCCCTACGAAGGAGAGAGGCACGGCGCCTTTCTCGACGGCCTGGCGCCCAAGGAAGGCTTGAGCCAAAATGGCGATGGAAAAGTAGCTTCGGGCAAGGCAGGGCACGGCATGGTTGAGCCCTGTAGAGCCGAGCAGAGTTCGGTAGACTAGAACAGAGTAGAGTCGAGTAGAGCAGAGCCGCATAGAGTCTAGACGAATGGAGGGGAGTACATACACTACAGTAGAATTAGGGCAGAATGGGAGTACAGTAGGCGTATAATAGAACAGCGCACAATCAGGTAGAACAGGGTAGGTCAGAGTAGGGCAGGAAAGGGTAGACCGGAATTGGGTAGATGGAAGGGTAGGGTCGGGTAGAATCGTGAACAGCAGAGTAGAACAGGAGTGGAGCGGAGCAGAGCCCACCCCAGTCCAGCCAGTCTGCTCCAGTCCAACACCTGTCGGTCCACTCCAGTCCGCTTCGTTCCTGTCGCCTGATCTATCTGGAAGCGGCGCTGGCTGGAATCCCACGGCCCTGGGGCCAGGCCGGGGCCCCCGGGACGCGAGCACGCCATGGCCTGCGGCTGCCCCGCCGGCGTTGGCCGCGCGCACAAGGGCGGCAGGGGGGAGGGGGGGAAGGGCTTCTCACAATAAGGCTACGTCTTGGAAGGGGCCGGCCATACATCCATGGATCAGGCCCGCGCCTTCAAAGAAGAAGGGGTGCTTCTAAGAAGCCTTCCCCTTGGGTGCTCGTTCTGGGGACCTTCCTGGAGACACTCGCTCCACCCGTGCGTCGAAGCTGCGTCGAACGCCCGTCGATATGAGCCGCCTCGAGTCGAACCTGAGTCGAACCTGAGTCGAACCCGAGTCGAACCTGAGTCGAACCTGAGTCTAACCTGAGTCGACCTTGAGTCGACCTGAGGACGAACTAGGAGACGAACAGGTCCGCTAAGTGGGCCCCAGGAAGGTCCCCAAAACGAGCATCTAATTCCCCCCTCCCCCTGATTACCCCTCTCTGCGCGTGGCCGAGCGCGACCTGCGAGCGATTGCGGCGCAGCGGGCGGCGCCGCGGGCGGCGCGCCACGGGCGGCGCCGCGGCCCGCTGGGCGGCCGCGGCGGGGGCGCGCCTCCGCGGCCGCACAGCGCCGAGGCCGCCCTCTCCATGTCGCCCCACCGCAAGACCACCCGCCGGCGGAGGTCCCAGAGGCCGGCCTGCCGGCCGGCTCGGGGCGCACCGCGCCCGTCGTCGTCGTCGCCGTCGTCGTCGTCGCCGCCGCCGTCGCCGCCGCCGTCGCCGCCGTCGCCGTCGTCGTCGCCGCCGCCGCCGCCGCCGCCGTCGCCGCCGCCGTCGTCGTCGTCGTGGTCGTCGTCTTCGCAACCGCCGCCGCCGCCGCCGCCGCCGCCGCCGTCGTCGTCGTCGTCGTCGTCGTCGTCGTCGTCGTCGTCGTCGTCACCGTCGTTCTCGTGGTCGTTCTCATCGTCGCCCCCCTCCTCCGCCTTGTCTCTGGAGCCGTCTGAGCAGGCCCCTGCCTTCCACGACAAAACCCGCCGCCTTCTAGGAAACCCGCCCCCCCTTGCACCTCTCCCGTTGTGCGCGCAGCCAAATCTGAAGGGGAACTGGGACACACAAATAAATACACACGAATAAAAATATCCCCCACATGTTCCTATAGTTTCTTTGTTTTTGTCTTCCCCCCCCCACTTCCCATGTTTTCCCATATTTTCTGGGAATCGCCGATCAATTTTGTCTGTGTGTTTCTTTCCCTCCTGAAACTCAAACCTCGATCCTCGGTCGGGGGGCACGCGCACCCGCACGCGGCCACTGGGTGCGCCGGGGGCCGCCGCCAGCGCGGCGCCAGCGCTCCGCGGCTGGTCGGGCCAGCGCTGGAGAGCAGCAGGCGGCCAGTGCTGAGGTGTGCACCAGTGGGCTGAAATCAATAAAGAAATAAGCACATCCTCCTCCTTACGATCGAAGAATAGTGCTCATCGATTATACACCGTGAGCTGGATGATACGAGAGCCAAAACGGAAGACAAGAAAAGAGAAACTGTACCCCTGTCCTCCGCCTAGCCTCTCCTCCCCTCCTCATGCGCCACTCCTCCTCCTCCTCCTCCTCCTCCTCCTCCTCCTCCTCCTCCTCCTCCTCCTCCTGCCTCTCCCTCTCCCTCTTCTTTTCTTCCCTCTCCCTCTCCCTCTCCCTCTCTCTCCTTTTTCCATTCCTTCTCCATATAAATAATAACCCCTTCTTGTCGCACCCCGAGGCAGGTCGAAAGGGCGGGCCGGGCCTTTCGCCTGAGACTTCCTCACCATTTACGACCCTGAAGTTCAAGAATTGGCAACAGTTTCACGGATTGAGGGCGGGTCGCTTTCACAATGTGGCTCCCGCCTTAGCGCCACGCATATTTGCTTTAAACATTTGCAAGAGCTTCACGGATTGAGGGCGGGTCGCTTTCAAAGTGTGGCTCTCGCCGTGGCGCCGCGCACACTCGCGTTGAAAAGTTGCAAGAGTTTCACGGATTGAGGGCGGCTGGTTTCAAAATGTAAATGTGGCTCTCGCCTTAGCGCCGCGCGCTTTTTTCAAAATTGCAAGAGTTCAACTGGTTCCCACGGTCAACGTACCAGACATGGTGTTTGAATGATTCAGGACTGTGATGGGTGTAAAATTTACGTTAATTCGCGGTGCTGAAGTCCCATGAATGGCGTTCGAGCACGATTCGGGACCGTCAAGACGCAACAGTCAGGTTGATCCATGGCGACGGAGTCTCAAGAATCGTGTTTTGGCATGCTTCAGGCTCTTCAACCGGTGGTCTCCCAACGAGGCAGTTCCCTCAGCAGAAATGAACCCTTGTAGGGGCCTATGAAGAGGAAGCTTTGAGGGAGGGTTTGTTCCTCAACGTCGTTGATGTCTCGAGGGTCTACACTGGTCCTCACCCTCCTGCATGCCCTCCTTCTCCTCCTCCTCCTCCTCCTCCTCCTCCTCCTCCTCCTCATCCGACTCCTCCTCCTCCCTCCTCCGCCTTCTCCTCATGATCCTTCTCAATCTCCTGCTCCTGCTCCTGCTCCTGCCCCTGCTCCTGCTCCTCCTCCTCCTCCGACTCCTCCTCTTCCTTCTCTCTCTTCTCCCATTGATCTCTAACTATTTTCCCTTCTCTTTCGTCCAGCATCTTGGGCATGCTCCAGTCCTCTCCTCCTCCTCCTCCTCCTCCTCCTCTCCTCCCTGTCCTCCTCTCCATTGTCCTCCTCATCCTCCTCATCCTCCTCCCCCCTCCTCCTGCCTCTGCTCCTCTCCCCTCCTCCTCTCTCCTCCCTCCCTCCTCATCCCCTCCATGTCCTTCCTCCTCCAGTCCTCCCCTCCATTGTCCTCCTCCTCCTGTCCTCCTCCTCCTCCTCTCCTCCTCTCCTCCTCCTTCCTCCTCCTCCCCTCCTTCCTCCGCCTCCGCCTCCGCCTCGCCTCCGCCTCCGGTCTCCGCCTCCGCCTCAGCCTCCGCCTCCGCCTCGACCTCCTCCTCCTCCTCCTCCTCCTCCTCCTCCTCCCTCCTCCTCATCCTCTCCTCCTCCTCCTCCTCCGCCGCCGCCGCCGCCGCCGCCGCCAGCCGCCTCCTTCCTCCTCCTCCTCATCCTCCTCCTATCCTCGACCTTTTCCTCCGACGCCTCTTTGTCCTCCCCTCATCCTCCGCCTCTCCTCCTCCTCCTCCATCATCTCTGTCCTCCTACTTTTGCCTCCCTCCTCCTCCTCCTCCTCTCCTCTCTCCTCCTCCTCATCCTCCTCCTCCTCCTCCATCCTCCTCCTCCTCCTCCTCCCTCCTCCCTCCTCCCTCCTCCCTCCTCCTCTCCCTCCTCCCTCCTCCCTCCTCCCTCTCCCTCCTCCCTCCTCCCCTCCCTCCTCCCTCCCGCCCTCTCCTCCTCCTCTCTCTCTCCTCCTCCTCCTCCTCCTCCTCCTCCTCCTCCTCCTCCTCCTCCTCCTCAGCAGCAGCAGCAGCAGCAGCACCATCAGCATCATCATCATCATCATCATCATCATCATCATCATCATCATCATCATCATCATCATCAGCATCATCAGCAGCATCATCATCATCATCATCAGCAGCATCATCATCATCATCATCATCAGCAGCATCATCATCATCATCATCAGCATCATCATCATCATCAGCATCATCATCATCCTCCTCATCAGCAGCATCATCAGCATCATCATCATCATCATCATCATCATCATCATCATCATCATCATCATCATCATCATCATCATCATCATCATAATCGTCATCATCATCATCATGCTCTTGCCCATCCGCACCCACCATCATTTCTTCATCAATAACTCATCCCCATCGCACCCCAGACGTGTCGGTAGGGCGGGCTGGGCCAGGCGTTTCGCCGGAGACTTCCTCATCATGTCTGATCCTGAAGCTTACAATCTGCAACAGCTTCACAGATGGAGGGCGGGTCGTTGTCAACATGTGGCTCTGGCCTCAGCGCCGCGCACATTCGACTCAAGAGTCTGCAGCAGTTGACGAATGGAGGGAGTGCCATTTTCAAAACGTGGCGCCCAACGTCGCCCCTGGTTGAAGCAGAGGACGTTGCACTCGAAACTGCGCTCCCAGCGCGGGGAGCCCGACCCGCTGCCTCCGCCGCCGCCGCTGGGCGCGCGCGCCTGAAGGGCCCCAGAGGGCCTCCAAGTTACCAGCCTCGAACTTATCCCTATCCCTAAGATTCACACGCCAAAGAGCGATGACAATCTTAGGGATGCGCCCTCAAAAAATAAGGGAATCCCTAAGATTGGCATCGTGATGAGGAGATGCCCAGCATAGGGATAGGGCAATCGCCAGGCCCACTCGGCGACGAGTGGGCGACCGTCGGGCCCGACCGACGCACGTCCCCCGGAGCCTGGTCCCCCCGCAGCGCTGCCCCCGGAAGCAGAAAGCACAAAAATGAAGGGGCCCCAGGACACACAAATAAATACACACAAATGAAAATATTCCGCATATGTTCCCATATTTTCTGTGTTTCTGTCTTCCCCCCCACTTCCCATAGTTTCCCATATTTTCCTGGGAATCGACGATGAATTGTGCCTGTGTGTTTTTCCCTCCTTAAGAAAGAGAAGACTGCCCGTGCTCTGCCTCCTCATACAGTGGAGGCCAATCCACAAGAAACCTTCCACAAGCAACCCAACCCTGAGACCCCAAGGCGTCCGTTGATTTTTGGCGCGGGACCTTCCCGCCCTCCATCGCAAAACCATCAAAACCGAAGAAACAACCCACGGCACCCTGGAAGCCAACAGGGTGTTTCTTGGCATGGGTCTCCGGTGTAGCCCGTCCTCCTCCTACTACCTCTCTTCGGCCTGCACGAGCCTGATGGAGCGCCCTTCCCCTCAATTAGGAAGCAGGCAGCCTTCGTCACCCCGGTTCCTCCCAGGACGAAAAACAGAAGCGGCACTGAAAAAGACGCTCCTGGCGCGGAGAGCCCGACCTGCGGCGTCAGGTAATGGGGGGGCGGTGGATGGGGGGGGGGTGAACGTGCACCTCTCGCGCCCCTGTGGGGCCCCGGGGGGTCCTTCTAGACAGGGCTCAGATCGATTCCTCCGATTCGATTCCGGTGGCTTCCGATTCCGATTCGATTCGACTCCGGCTTCCGATTTGGGCTCCGATTTCTCAATGGAGGCCTACCAGCCTGCCGATTTCAGTCGATTCGACTTTTCCTGACTCGTCTGTCGATTTCCGCTCGCCGAACCGAGTCTGCTGGAGCGCGGGACCTCTGGGCGGGCACCCCAAGTCTCTCAATAAGCGTGGAGGGGGGGATCGCGGGGGGGTGGGTGGGGAACCGCTGTCCTTCGGGGGGCGTGGGCAGGCTGGGGAGCGAGAGGGGGGCGGAATTTGGGGGCGCGTAGGTAGGGGGGGCGGGCAGGGGGCGTCGGACAGATTGGCACAGGGGGGGTGCTTCTTGAAGGATGTGGAGTACAGAGAAAATCCCTAATCAGGACGCGCGGTAAGGACGCAAGACCCTTGGAAGCCGAAGTCGGGTTTTTTGGGGCGGCGGACGACGAAAACCTCAAGGGCGCAAGAGCAAGGAAGAGCAAGGACGCAAGGGTACCCTGAGCAGAGTCGCGCGTCCTTATGAGGGTTTTTGACTGTACCCGTCCTCCTCGGGGACCCTCCCCGCCCCGCCATTACTCGACGCCCGCCGACCCGCTGCCGCCGCCGCCGGGC